ATGAATACCTAGACGATGATCTGATACAGATCAGATTACTTAACTAGGAGCCATGCCATGAATTGCCTTAAAAGTAATCATCAAGATCTTAAATTGAATATGATAATTTACTGGCAGCCAATGAAGGTTGTAAAGTACTGGTTAACCGGTTTACCGGAGCTGTAACAAAGGACTAATGCTTGAAACATCAGCTATAGAAACTCTCTACAGTGGCCTGTTAACATTATTAACTTAGTTGATGGAGCCAAACTCCTATATTTTTAATTTTTAGCTGCCATGATTTTACATCATAAATAAGGAGATTTTTTTGGACAACCATTGTTAATTTCCTTATTAGGTCAGTGGAACAGAGATGAGCAAGTGGCTGAATGAACTTTGTCCCATAATTCTTGATATGCTGCAGGATGCTTCACTGAACAACAAAAGAGAGGTAAACATTATTTTGTTACTTGTAGAGAATTTAGGGTTCAAATTGTTTGTTAGATTCATAATAAAGTGTTTGCCCTTATTTTAAGCACAACAACTGAAAGAAATTTTTAAACCTGTTGAGCAATCTATTTTATGGAATTTCAGAAGTGATTAAGATTTCCAAGTGATTTTAGGTAGTAATAAGAAGTACTGTGGGTGGTAAATTGTACTAGTTATTACCTGAAAAGGAGAATACTTATAAAAGCCCTATACTGTATCTATATATGGTTGGAATACAGTCTCAAAACAGTATTACATGTGCCTAGTACATAAACTAGCAACAGCCCTGCTACTGAATGTGAGAGTTATCCTCACACTAATTAAGTAAACACTACTGAAGCAGTAGTGAAAATAAAAAACCCTTTGACCTCTGTGATACTGGTGCAGTGCTCTACCAACTGAGCTAACAAGCCAACAGGGAGTTGATTATTTTGTTTGTTCATAATAACCCCATGAAGCGATGAATGATGGACTGTGAATTTTGCCATAATCAATTTTGATGTGTTTCACCAACAGATTGCTCTGTGGACTCTTGGTCAGCTTGTGGAGAGTACTGGGTAAGCTTTGTACTTGAAGTTGTTTCTCTGAAAGCTGCATCCTATTATTGATATAAACTGTGGTGACTTTAGAGAAGCTACAACTACACCTGTGTAAAATTATGATTGCCTTTTTAGGTGTTTTTCTGTTTTGTTTTGTTTTTTTTATTGCCAATCAGCTGCTGACATGTCATTTGCCTTTTGTGCCGCTCTGTCAGGTTGATGAATAAAATGGCAAAGCATTCACCATTCTCAAATCAAGATCATTTGTCAAATGTTCTTGTCAATAAAGGCCTGTGGTGTTTTAATTTGAAACAAAGAAATGTATGGGCTTGTGTAGAGACAGAATTTCTCTTTTCTTGTGTTCAATGCAAAGAGAAATTCCACATCTCCACAAGCCTTGGCATTATTCTCTATTTAATCTATTTGGACGTAAGCATGAACATAAATTTGAAAACAATATTGAAATTGTTCTGCTTGAATTTCTTAGATATGTAGTAGAACCCTACAGGAAGTACCCTAACCTTTTAGAGGTCTTGTTGAACTTCCTCAAAACAGAACAGGCCATTGGAATAAGGCGAGAGGTGTGTTCGTAGTTCTGTAACACTCATATGTCAGTTGGCTTTATTCCTTTAATTGCCAAATGATTGAGTTTTTTTAAACCTCACTCATTTTTTTGTTTGTGTGTAGGCCATCCGAGTGCTTGGACTTTTAGGAGCTCTTGATCCTTATAAACATAAACTGAATCAGACTGGAGGGCTGCTAGTGGGTGGAAACTCTGCCAAAGACTCGACAGATAATGAAGCAGGTCAGATTTGAAAACATGCAACTGTAATAATAAAAAAGTGTGGCTGGTAATACGAACATGTAGCTTGGTAACAAAATTGCTGTGCAGGTCTTTTTTTTTTTTTTTCAAATCCATTACAGTCTCATTCGTTTATATTCTATACATTTGCAGCTGATACTAGCACAAGTGAAATGTTAGTTACCATGGGCAGCATTCAGCTAGAGGAGTTCTACCCGGCAGTGGCTGTGTCTGCTCTCATGAGGATCGTCAGGGACTCATCACTGTCCAGTCACCATACTATGGTGATTCAGGTAACAGAATAAACAATGATTATAACACTATCCATTCTACTGAAACTTTATTTCAATAGTTTCTCAGAAGTCTCAAAGCATCTTCCTACCTAGCCGTTTGTGTTATGACTAGTACATGTACAATGTAAGAAGGACTTTAAGTACACATACACTGTACTGGATGAAAACTCAATGTTTAAAATGCATGATCAAGTTATGAAACAGGTTTTCTTGTACCAATCGTTTTGATATTCACGTACTTGATTGTTTATCCTTTACATCCCAACATCAGTATGTATCTTCTCCGTACAGTTCTCTTTACATTCCCTACAGTGCTGAAAAGGAGACTTTTTTTTAACAATCAAGCTCATTTAGTTGGTGATCATTTCCTTTATTCTCATCGCCTTAATGTTTGATTAAGGGCTGATGTTTTGAAGAGAAATTGGATGCTGCTCAAACTCATGGGTTGAAGGGTTAAGTGAAGTGTACCACAAGCGCTGGTATTACTTCATTGATCAAAACTTGAACAAAATTCTCGAACGCTATTGATTATCACCAGCCCAATTTGAGCACTAATAGGCCAATTGACACGTCATGCCTGTGTAAGTGGGCAGTTGTGGCGCATTTCGCCGATTTTTTTATGAAAATGTATGACCGATGTCTAGTTTGTTTCTCAGATTTGTAATACTTTTGATTACTCCTGATAAACAAATCGGACTTCCGCTTTGCAGCTGTCTGATTTTCTCAGTCACTTGTATGATTACAGACCGAATTGGATTCCACTCGGAATTAATTTGTATTAATTAAACTGGTGGTGCAATGTGGACCCAATTGTTACTCAAATGGCAGTGGTGATATATTAATTTTTTTCTCCTTTTAGGCTGTAACATTTATTTTTAAGAGTCTTGGAATGAAGTGTGTGACCTACCTCTCTCAGGTATGATCATTAATTTTATTGAATATTTTCCTATCGGTCATTGGAATTGTTAGTCGTTATTGTAAACTTTTTCTTTTTCTTTTCAGATTATGCCTTCCTTTTTGAATGTCATTAGAACTTGTGATTCATCATTTAGAGAGGTTTGTAAATTTTGGAAATCTGTGCTGTAGATGATTACTACCAGTGAATTAATTTCAAGAGCATCATTTGATTCACAATTTGTTGAATTTTTTGTAGTTTGTACTCCAGCAACTAGGAGTGCTGATATCAATTGTCAAGCAACATATCAGAAACTACTTGGATGAAATATTTGGTCTGATCAAGGTGTGTTCGATTGAACAATTACTTTTCATTCTAAACCATCAAAAGGTCCCACTTTTAACTCTGTTTTCAAAGAGGACTTAGACTGCGCTTTAAGTGTATCATATCGACTAACAAAAATTTGTGTCGGCGAGTTGACTAATGCATGGTGTCGGCGAATAGGTAGTCGGCGATGTGACCGGTAAGCGATCTTTGTGTGTAAAGGGAAGTTTGCTGTGAATTTGGACTTGATTCTCTCACATTAGTTTGACATGAATTGTGAAACTTCCATCATCAAGTCGCCGTGGAAAGATGGTTTTTGCAAGTATTGAAACACCTCCAGTTTCTGAGAAGCTAAGTATTGACGGTGTTTAATTTTTCCAGCAATACTGGATCCTTAACAGTCCAATGCAGACGACCATTATACTGTTAGTAGAACAGATAGTTACAGCCCTAGGAGGAGAATTCAAGGTAACATTTTCAAATGGCTGAAAGACTATGTAGAGTCTATTGGCATAAATGAATAGAGCTATTTTCAAGAGAGTGTCGAAAGTAATGCGAATTTGCATTGGTTTTGCTTTACTTCGCGCCACTCTCTCAGCCAATCAGCGACAAAAGTGAAACCAATCACGATCTGGTCGCATGCGTTTTCCCGCGCTTGAGGCAGTTTGCTTGGTTTTAGTTACAGTTCTCATTGGTTCCTTATAATATTTTCGTTTGTTTTGATTGGCTGTTGTGATAACTTTGGTTTTGGTTTTCCGACACCCAATCGAATTATTATTATTATTATTATTTTGTAATTATGATTGTAGTTTTTCAGAACATACTTACCACTGGCAACTACGGTAATTAGACTGACTTCAATAAACCAGCTGATTTTTAAACGGTTAACCCGAAAAACATAACATTTCTAAGTATGATTGTAGTTTTTCAAAGCATACTCACCACTTGCAACTACGGTAATTTGGCTGGTTTCGATAAACCAGCTGATTTTCAAACGGTTAACCCAAGAAACATAACATTTCTTTTCAGATCTACTTGCCGCAGATTATTCCTCAGATACTCAAAGTGTTTATGCATGACAACAGCTCTCAAAGGAGTGTCACAACAAAGGTAATTATAATTAATTATTGCAAACGTTATTGAATGCTGTGCGTTTGCTCGAATTTTTCAACAATGTTACAATCCCTTAATCGCGCGTCAAGTGCGTGTAAGAGGTGCTAATTACACGCTCTTCGGAGCGTGTAGTAACGCTTGTGCTGTAGAGAGATTGCACACGTGCAAAGGTTTACTCTCAAATGCTTGTATTTTGATTTGTCTTTTTTCATTCACTACGCGCATTTGCTTTTACTCTTTCATCGAATGCTGTCTCTGGGAATTTGTGCCTCACTCAACGTGATGATTTTGAAATGCTTTCCTGTGACGGAAAAAACGAAGTTGATCTCTTTATTGTTATTCCGGTCAATAATCCACCCTTTGGTGAATCTTACTTTCGTGTTAATCATTCGCTTCCCTTATGCGAAGGTTGAAAAACATGAGAAAATCAAGGGCAAATTAGAGATTTCTTCCAGTGGTAAGAGATGGAAGGGAAGAACGGGGCCGGAGTTCGCGGCAAGGCGCCACTCGATCCGCATCGGGTGTATAAAATTAGAACTTTAGTCAACCGTTTATTCCAGTAACAAGCATCGACGAGTCCGCTAAAGCCATGGACGAGTACTTTAGGCGGCCGAGTTGTCGAAAGAGGGTAACATAAGCTGTACTTCTCCTATGTTTAATTAACCATGCAGGTATCTTTATGGGTTATTAATGACTCAGTCATAACCAAGCGTTTTTGTTATCCTGCAGTTATTGAATGCACTTCAGATGTTTGGTTCCAGCCTCGATGACTACCTCCATCTTCTTGTTCCACCAGTTGTCAAACTGTTTGATTCGTCTGACATCCCGCTTGTCGTCAGAAGGTAAGCACATGAATCATGTCGACTTTTTTATTGTATTTTGTTCTGTCCGTCTGTCAGTCTGAACAACTGTGTCTGTCTTTATGTCTGTCCATCCATCCAATTTGTCTTTTGACACTGTTTCAAGTATGCCGGGAGTTTTCACAGTAAATGGTAATGTATGAATTATTCCGGTGAGCTGTGTTTTCATTACAGATGTGCTTTAGAGACTTTGGACCGTCTCAGTGAGTCTCTGGATCTCACAGACTTTGCGTCACGAATCATTCATCCAATAATGAGGACATTAGACTCATGCCCAGACCTACGCCATACAGCTATGGATACTTTGTGTTCTCTGGTGTTCCAGTTAGGGAAACAATATTCTACATTCATTCCCACTGTTCATAAGGTTTGTCTGACTGCTTGTATCATCACAAAATAAATTAAATGACCAAGTATCTCAGCTCCTCATCCTCCTCTATTCTTTATCTTAAACTTGCAGGTAATTGTGAGACATCGGATCCAGCACCAACGTTATGACATTCTGATCACTAAAATTGTGAAGGTTAGTGTACATAACTGCAGCCTGCCAGAATCATAGTTAAAACTTATCAATACTGTGTGTACTATTCTCTTTTAAATACCTCTTTGGACTGAGTGAATAATCCGTCGTCGCGGTTTCGATGACTTGAATCCTATCCTTTTTAAAAGCCCACTTCTGCTAGATTAACGAAGAATGGAGTGTTGTCTTAGTTTCTTTGAAGAGCTTATCTCCTTTTGTTGAATGGAGTATTGACACGGTTTGATTGACCTGGATACTTTCCTTTTTAACCTTTACGCCCTAACATCCTCTGCACATTTCCTTTAGTACTAATTAGGAGAATTTGTTCAACAATCCATACTTCTTAGATCAGAAATTATTTCATACATTCTCACGATCTTAATGACTGCTGGTCACTGTTCAGGTGTAAAAGGTTAGGAGACCATTTTCCTTTGATTAGGAGGATAGTGTGTTGTTTGTGTGACCTGAGTACTTTCCCCTTTTGAGAGCCCATTTCTGCTGGATAAGGAGATTAGAGTGTTGCTAACCATTTCTTCTTCAAGAGCCCTTTTCTGTTGGATTGGGAGAACGAAGTATTGTCTCGCCGCCAAAAGGCTGGTAGAGGAAACTTGGCAGATGACTCCGCTACCAATGCAGCCATTGAAGCTGCGAGCATCAAGAAGCTGACATTTAAGGCGGACAGTCTTCAAAGGGTGATGTTAATTTTTCTCCATTCATTTTAAAGATAAAGCTCTGGTTGATGATGTATCTAAGTCAGTAAGACACGAGTACTTGGCCAAAGAAATCAGTGCGGATTGCTTCCTATTTGATCTCAACTATATTTGTCATAGATTGGACTCTGTTAGGGAAAATTTGGAATTATCCGTGTTACACTATCTGATATTGTTTTTTTATCTTGTAGGCGTGGGGGGCATCAAGGTGCGTGTCAAAGGATGATTGGATGGAATGGTTGAGAAGACTGAGTGTGGAACTTCTAAAAGAATCACCTTCACCCGCATTACGGTCATGTTGGGCTACAGCACAGACTTACCCCCCTCTTGCAAGGTAAACGTGTGCATTATCATTGCCATAGACTTACTCTCCTCGGACGAGATGCAGTAACACAGTGTGTTACGGGTGCCACAGACGTACCCTCCCCTTGCTAAGCAAAGTAACAATCTGTAGTAACACCAGCCCAGATTTACACTCCTTTAGTGAGGTGCAGTAAGGATTATTACCTCCTGCAAAGTTGTAGCATGAAACGATATTATTATTAATGATCTTGTAAAGTTTTCCCCTAAAGTTTCCACGGTTGAAGCACGGAGGCTATTGGCCTTGAATTGCTCTTTGTATAATTGCATGCTATTTTTCTCCAGGAACTTGTTTCTCAGACATCTAATCTTAATGCGCCCCTTAACTTATTATTGATTTCCTCAGGGACCTGTTCAATGTTGCGTTCGTATCTTGTTGGTCAGAGCTACACGAAGAACTTCAGAATGAATTAGTGAAACACTTGGAGATGGCCTTGGGAAGTCAAATCCCAGAAATCACTCAGACCTTGCTTAATTTGGCAGAATTTATGGAGCACACGGAAAAGGTGCTGGACTTTTATCTCATTTCGTGCTCTGCCTTGTTACTGTTCAATTAAATGTTTTCTTTCACATAATATCTTCTTCATGGCTTTCTTTTAAGTTTTTCAATGCCTTTTTTCTAGGGCGCACTGCCTTTAAACAATGATCTGTTAGGTGAACAGGCCTCGAAATGTCGAGCTTATGCAAAAGCGCTGCATTACAAAGAAGAGGAATTTCACAGAGGACCGACCACTGAGACACTGGAGGCTCTGATCAGGTAACAGCTGAATAATCAATATCAGAACTCCTCTTGAATGTGATGACTTATCGATTGAGTCTTGGAATACATACTGTGAAGGTTATGCCGAACAGCAAATTATTACTTAATGATAGGCTTTTCTCGGTTTGCGAGTTTGATTTGGAGTGTATTCATTAGTATCCTTCGAATAGTTACCTTGAGTAGCTTAATTGTTTTTTTGTCTTTCTGTCAGCATAAACAACAAACTGCAGCAACCACAGGCAGCCCATGGTGTTTTGGTTTATGCTATGAAGAACCACGGAGCAGATGTGGTAAGCAGTTTGAAAGTATTGATTGACACAGCTCACTTAATCTGCGCCACCTTTTATGGTGATTTGATAATACACGTATGTTATCTCACAGAAAATTAAGGAGCGCTGGTACGAAAAACTCCATGACTGGGAGCAAGCGTTGGAAGCTTACAACAAGAAATTGATTCAAAATCCTGATGAAATCAACCTCTCCTTAGGACGGATGAGATGCCTCGAAGCATTGGGCGAATGGTAATTCGTTGTTGGTTACTTTGCTCTTTTTGTTATTGTGCGTTTGTTGTTTTTTCCAATTGCACGCGAATTTTTTTAGTGGGTTGATAATTAAATTTTGTTTGAGTCAACATACCTCTGTTAAAAGTTTAATCACTGACTCAATAACTACCATACCCAAACCTCAGGGCGGTCATTCAAGCTAAGTTTAACCCTTATTTATCATCCAAACAGCGCTCTAAACAATCTTTAGTCGAGCAGAAAATATCACCGAAACGTTGATTTTTTCCGAAAGCATTAAGCACTAAAAGGAAAATCTAGTACCTTCAAAAAACCCACATTTGAGGACCTTTCAAAGTCCATCAATCGTTAAAGACGTGGTCTAGAATATAGGTCGTTTCAATAGGAGACCCTTAAAGAGTGCGTGTGACTAAAGGTGTGACCTGTTAAGTAAGTCTTGTTTTTCATTGATTAAATTTCCATCGTTTAGACGTAGAACGGGGGGTAGGCTCTTACGCAGAATAACAGCAATGAAAGTGATATGGCCAAATATTTTTTTCGCCTTATTGCAAACGTGGGACAAAGAGATGCAATATATCTTAAAAAACTTCTCTTTGTTTTCACATTATAGTCAACAGTGACAAGGAGTTATGCAGAACTGTAAAATCCCTGAACATACCCAAAGATCTGCAGACTTTTATTCTTTAAGATCAAAATGAGTGTTGTGTCAAACTAACCGATAACTTCGCAGCATTGACAGTAGACAGGGTGGGAAG